AGTGGCTCAAGTTTCTCCAAAATAGTTTTGTCTTAATGACTCCTTTTGCCAGACTTCAGCTTGTGAACTGATTTTCCTCACACCCAAAGAGTCACATGGGTAAGAAAGTGTTTAAATGAAGAGGAAAGACGATGAAATAGAAAATGAACAGCAGCAATTATTCTCTTTAGAGGTATATCAACAGACCTTGGAGTCTTCTCTTAGCTTCTTGGAGAGGCAACTGCTGAGCCATTCGGCTGCAGCTTCCCTTTTTCCACGTGCTTTGCAGAGCTTTTCATTGCCACAGGTCCCAAGAGATTTGCCCCCCACCTCCTGGGAGGGATGCAGGAATTAGGCAACGTATTCCTTCTGCATGAAAGTAGGGAAAGCATACAGTGCGGACTCGGCTCTCCTGACTGACATTGAGGTCATATTTTGAGAGGAAACACCATGGCAGAGCATGCTACCGTGTGTGTCCAAAAATATATTGTTTGTCTAATTAATGCCTTTCAGCCTAACAAGAACGCAAACAAGCAACTACTTCCACCCAGTTACAGATACTTAGAATCCAGATGACTTAGTTCTTGACGGCAATAAGTAAAACTGTGATATGCACATCTCTCAGAGCTGTACCATGAGCTATGCCTGGGTCCTATGCTTTGTTATGGGGAGCCACCAGCTTCTGATGCCCTTTACCTGAAGATGTGCAGTGTTGACAGTATGTGTGTGGCAGGGTTATATTCCTGCACAGTCTTGAGTTTACTCAGAAATTCTTTTGTGTGTAACCCCATATTTCATAATGGGTTACAGTCTTTCCACTGCTCTTTGCCCACAAGCTTAAAAGGCAGAGAACTGTGCAATTGGACAAAAACAAAGTAAAACTTAAGCTAAAACACATTTAGGAATAATATAGTTAAAACAAACCCCAAACCACAGGATAAGAAAGAGGCATTTGAGCATTCACTTATTTTGCTAGAGGCCAGTTCCTCTGCTCCCTACACACTTCACAGGCACAGGAAAAAGTAATATTGACTACACTATTCAAAATTATCCTAGACCAAATATTTATTGTGATATTGCTTGGTGTCTTACACCAACGTCATCAACAGCAATTGTCTGAGCTTCAGGGTTTGAGGCTGTGGGACAAGTTACCCTGACAGGACTGTGAAATGATAGCAAACTACCAACAGCAAGGAAAGAGCTGAGCCCTGGTAGAAGAAGGATCTTTCACAAGCGCTGTCAGCAACAGCAGTTATGCAGATAGTTGCACAGACTTCAAGTCCTCTGTAAAGCAAGAGGTTAGACATGACCAGAAGTAACACATTTCCAACCTCTCCCTGCCTACTCCTTCCTCTCATCATGGCTTGGGCTCTGATCCCACCAAGTCTCCATCCCTCCTCTGTTCTCTCACCTCAACGTTGTAGCCCCAGCACTGGAGCCCACTCCCTCCACAGGGGCTCCATGTGAGTCAAGGTTTCCTATGGACCAGGGAAACTGTTGGTGGTACATCACCCCCATGGTCCTGTGGTCTCCAGCATTCCTGTGCCATCCAGGACAGTGCCTCTGAGGAGAGAAGCTGCCCCAGTCTGTTGTGCTGCTGTTATTTTTGTTTGTTGCTTGTAGGGTATTTATCTAGGAGTCTCAACAGACTGATAAAGCAGCCTCAGTGATGTCCCCTTCCTCAAAGCATCATCATCCTGTGAAGGGCTGTGAATCAGCATTGTCTCAAATGAGGAGAGTTTACTCAGAGGAAAACACAGAAATATGGCCCAAATTCTGTCATAGTTACATAAATCCCTTGCTGAACATCTGGAGAACATCAAAGTTTAACAGAGCAGGCCTGCAGGCAGAGGCATTTTTGACCTTCCCTGTAATGGAAGCATAAAAATTGAGACTGAAAGAATGGGAGTAAATAGAAACAGAAATGGAAGACAAAATGGGTATAGCACACAGGGGCCAACTTAGGCTCAAATGCTTGACAAGAGTTCCTGCAATCCCATCTGGACAGCACACAAGCTTGGGAAGAGACAAGGCAATGCACATCAAAACTGTGTGCTGGTACTGCTGGGAAGCTGCTGCTGGTCCCTGCTTTCTGGGAAAGTCATCCCATCCCATCCAGTCCTTTTTAAAATGGTGCTTCTTCTGGGCAAATGGCAGCTTACTTACAGCGAATGTTCAGTTTTTCCCATGGGAAAATTGACAAATGCTTCAAAACTGAGGCTTGGAAACGGAAACTGCCAGTGTTTGCTGGTTTGGGATGTTCATCCTCTTTAAATAAATGGGGAGAAGCAAGGGCATGGTTGAGGAGGGAAGAAAAGCTCATGAAAGCAGGAAAAAATCCCTCCTGCCACCATTTATTTTTCAGCTGAAAGCAATCAAATTGTTGTCAACCAGCCCAAGGAAAGAGTGTGTATCCCCCAAGTTTTCCTAGGTGTCTTTTGCATTCCTGTCTTTCACATGTTCCAAGGGGCAGAAGGGGCACAAAGTCTCCCTAAGCTCCCCTGTCCCCTTCCCCATTGTCTGCAGCCTGCTGGGTGGCTGGAGGCAGGGGGCATGTGGTTTCCATTAATGCAAGGAGGGAGCCCAGGGAGGGGTAGGATCTTTTCCAGCTTCCAGCTCCACTCCTGCTCCTTGTTGCCCAGCAGGAATAGTGGAACTGGCTCCTGCCCACCTCTCTGCTCTGCCCACCCCACCATGGCAAGCTCAGTGCTGGTGGCGGTTGGGTAATCCTGTGGTTTGTGCCCTGCTCCCCTCCTTCACAATGAATCATGCCGGACCTTAAGAAATTCTTCTTGGCTGTAACAATAATGGGTTTTATTAGGCACAGACATGAAGGTTTTTTTCCTAGGGTTCTGAGGGGAGGACAGAAGGACATCTTTTAGAAGCACCCCTGGAAGGAGGATACCTTTAGAGGTGCTCCTCAGTTTCCAGCTGTGAGCGAGGTGTCCCCAGCACTGCCAGCCTGCCCTCTCACCTTAGCTGAGATGCTTGGCCAAAAGAGAGCACGGCTACAAGGAGAACATGAGATGAGGGAAGGAGCAGGCAGATGCTTCTCCTTCACAGAAACACGATATAAATGGTGAACAGCGCCTGGGGATCAACTGATGCTGGATGCATGCAAACTGAAAGGTCACAGCAAGCCCCCGGGATATGCAGTCATCCCCAAAGACAGGCATCTTTTAGAGCTGCCTTAGGTTATAAAACAAATGCCTAGGGAACAGTCTGCCTGGTGAAGCTGTCTGTGTTTTGCTACCTCCACCACAAGCCCTGCCACTAGAACGGAGTCCCCATCTGCCCAGGAAGTGACACACTGAGGACAGACACTGGACAGAAGGAGAAAGCAAACACGACTCACTTCCTCACCTGATGTTCTCCATCTCTCTGCACCAGTGAGGGCTGGTCTTCTGGAAACAACAGCACCTAGCTGTGCTGTGAGACAGTGGAAAATATTGCAAGCGGAAGCCTGTTTATACCAATTTAAAACACACTCATTCATACATTCAGATAATCCCTGGATTTCTCAAATCCCAAGCACTCAGTAATAGCCGTATATGAAGTAAATGCAGTACATCTCTCTTGTTTTGCACTGTGTGGTTTTATGCGAGAAGTCCTGTCAAAGTCCTCCCAAGATCCTAATATCCCATATTTCACTTTTCAGCCACTCAAGAGAGACAAGCTTCCGACGAGGTTGTGGAAAACAATTTATTTGACGAATTTCTGAAGTGGACAATTTTTAGTAAAACACAGGCATAAAATAAAAGTAACTTCTGGATACAAAATAGTTTGGGATGATGGTGATACTTGGAAATCACTGTTGCTTTCTCAGAAGCGCATGAATTCATAGCAAGAGCACCAATGGAAGCGCTGAACAAAATCTCACCCAGCCAAACCACATCTTCAGTGTGGTCCTGGAAACAAATGTGTAAACACCAAGGGCCCACATCACCCACGTAGTGATAGCACCTTTGATATCTGCAGGGTGTGATTCAAAGCCCCCGGCAGGTAACGGCAGCCTTTCTCTTGACGTGGCCGGGCTGCGGAATAGGCCCTAGTTCAACATATAGCAGAGTTTGTAGGCCTAGGTGTCTAACTCCTAGATAGTCTGGTAGAAACAATACTCCCAGAGAGCTCACTGGGAAACGGCTTGACACTTTTGAAAAAACAACAACAACAACAACAACAAAAAACCTCTAACTGGGCTCAGAGAGATTTTCCAGCATGGCATTTGGACCATAAGGCAAGTCATCAGGTTAATTATGAGGTTCCTGGTTTCACTGTAGGACCACAAAATGGGTTAGCGAAGGAGTGCAGCTTCTTCTCACGTTCCCCCCTCCCCGGTGGCTGTTGGCCACCTTTCCTTGGTCAGCGCCCAGCCCCCTGCTCTGGATGGGAATGTCAGCACTGAGGTATGCTCCAGCACCCACCTCCAACCCAGCCCTGGGAAGTCAGTGGCCCATTGCACTGCACAGGAGGCCGGAGATGCTTTCAGCTCTGCCTAGTGCACGGCTGGTTCAGATAATAAGTCCATCTCTTCCCACCAGCATGGGAGACGTGAACCAAACTTGCCAGCCATGACAATGATCCCTTCTCAAAACTTACGGAAATGCTGAAGCACAGTGTTGGGTTAGGACCATTGTCAGCTGGGAAAATGCACAGCTGACGTATGAGTGAAAGAGGCAAATAAAGAAAAAGAAAACACCCTGTATCTAAAAAGGATATAATCAACCTTGTGGGACTGAGCAAGTCCTTAGTGGTACAACATTCCTCATCCTGGTTCTTTCTCGGCAAAAATCAGAGAGATGAGGTTGCTTTTGGTGTTCAGGGGGGTTGCTGCTAGGTGTTCTTATGCTTGCCTACTGCAGGGAGTTAGTGAGAGGCAGTCACAGAGCAGGGATGGGAGGCTCAAGGCTAGGAGGGCAGAGATGCAGATGGAGAAGAAGGTGGAGAAGGAAGGAGACTGTGCACAGACAGGCTGTCGCACTATGGCTTTCTGTATAGATGCAAGTTCCTCAGACTGTTAATTTTTTTTTTTTTTTTTTGTCTTGTCGTTTTTCATTTTTAGGTGAGAGAGAAGCTGGAGCGGCCCTGGTAGAAACCCCCTTGGGTGCTCAGTCAACAGCTATCTTCCTGGAGACAGTTTGGTAGAAGACGCCACGCAGCAGGGAGGTATAGTCAGGCACACGGAACAGGTGACGCTCCCCGTAGACAACGTCATAGTTTGCGCTCTTCCCCGTTACCAGCACACGGACGTTGGGCTCGTTGACTTGGCTGCCCACTGCCAGCACGTAGACCTCAATACCAGCCTGCTGAACTTCCTGCACAGTCCTCTCGATGGCCCTCGCGGTGATCCCCTGCGAGTTGCCATCAGAAAACACCAGCACCTTCTTCTTAGCCCCAGCACGAGAGGACCGCTGGTACAGCCCCATGGCGTACTGCAGAGCGGCATTGACATCTGTGGCTTTGTTCATGAACTCCATGTTGTCAACAGCTTTGGCGATGACCGTGTAGTTGCGCTGAAATGGGACTTCCACCTTCTGCTGGTTTCTGCCGCTGTACTGCACCACCGAGACGCGCACAGAGTCCTCGGCAGGCTTGCTGGCCTCAAGGAACCGCTCTGCAAGCCGCTTCACAAAACTCTTGGTGGTGTCAAAGTTCTTGCTCCCCACGCTGGTGGAGCTGTCCACCAACAGCATGATGTCTGCCGGATTGGCAAAGGTGACTGCAAGAGGACAGACCCGGGGCTCGTTACGCTGCTTTTTTCTCCTGCTTTCCATGGGAAGCTGGTGAATTTACCAGCTATCTCGCATGCTTCCTGCTTTGTTAGACTGAGGAAATGCCTACTCTTTGCGGGTTTGCTGCTTTGGTTTCCCCACTCCAATGCTATCCTACACGTGTCCTTTTACCCTCTCATTCTTTCTTTTATTTAGTTTATGACTCCTGTTACTTGCAGTGGGTGTTTTCCTTGACTTACACTGTCCCATTTTGTCTGGAGAATCACTACATCTTCCCAGGCTGGCCTGTTTCCATGAGTCTAAGGATTGTATATTCTTCTGACATCAAAATGGATCTGTTTAAATTCCTTGCTTTCCAACCACTTTTCTCAGATATCCTGCTGACTTTTGTATGTGCTTGGCCCTCCCCCCGCAGCACAACCAATCTCATTTGTCTCATCTAAAGCCTACATGGACTAACCCTAATTCTTAAGGAATTAGAGAAGCCACTGCCCAGCCTTTTCTCGCTCCTGTCCCCCAAGTGCTTTGAGCTGGGGTGTATATGAGAGATTCCAGGTTTGCTCTTTCTATAGCCTGACAGCAGAGCTCAGTAGCCTCCCTGCTGTGGGATATCTCCACCTCTATGTCCCTACGCACAGCAACTACCGCATCCCTCACCACAGCATCCACAACCCCTTTGTGTGTATTATGACAAGAGGAGCAGGTACTCACTTGGGCAGGTGTAGTCTGGACATTTCTTCTCTGTTAAGAAAATTAAAAAGAGTAACATCACCAACTCATGCAGGAAAATTGCTTCTCCTGTAGCACAGCTTCCCACAGAGCTGCACTGGGGACAAATGCTTACTTTGGTTGTAGCCTCTTCACGCAAGTTGCCATGCAAAGATATAAGCATGCACCAGAGAGCACAGAATATGTGCTTGAAAATTCTGGGGACAGAGATATCCTGCAGGGGGTAAGGACCTGGGTATTGCTGCAGTGTTCTAAGACATGAGACATTCTTGTTGCTTGTTGACTGAACTGTGAATATTGCTCTCTTCCCTCAATACCTGAGTGCAATTTAAGAGCATGCCAGGGCTATGCATAGAAGGCAGTTTGTATCCCTCACCCTTTGGCTGCTACAGTCGTTACTATGGCCCTTATTGCCACCAGCCAGTTATGCTGCTCTGGAATCTTTCCAGGGGTGAGGAGTAAGGCCTGGGTTAACAGTCTAGGGCCAGGTCCTCGCACAGACCCAGGTGAAACCCATAGAAAGTTTTCACCCACCTCGGCAGACGTACGAGGTGATGTTCTGCAAGAAGGAGTCATCTAGGAGCTCGGCGTAGTTGTCTCTCTGAATGGACAGTCCTTGTCTCCTTGGCATGCCTAAACAAGCGATGTCATTCAGTTGGTCTGGGTTTGGATAGTTCCGGAAAATGTCACCTATTCCGAGGGAAACCACCTGTAGAAAAGTTAGAGTTGGTGCCTAATTCATTCATAAGCTTGACTGCCTGCCACTGCATGAGAGAGCTTCTAGTGACAGGGGCTCTGGCCTTGGAAAGCAAAAGATGGAAACCCCTAGGGATCCTGCACTACTAGTCCCACTGATGATAGCTGTTCCCTGCCAGCCTCCCCGTGCCACCATGCCCTTACCGGGGTGACCTCACACAGAGAGGTCAGTGGGGTACGGTCCCGCAGCGTGTCTGAACGTCCGTCTGTGATGACGATGGCCACGTTATTGGTGGAGGTGAATCTCCGCAGCAGGTTTTCCTTGCTGAACTGCAGGGCTTCTCCTGTGTGGGTGCCCCCAGCTATCCATTTCAGATTCTTGACTGCCCTGCAAGCAGACACCAGAGAGCCTGAAAGCCCTGTGAGCAAGCCCTGATTTACAGGAACAACTGGGAATACACGTCTTACTGACACACGGGCATGCTTGCAAGGCAGGGAAAAGTCCTGCTTGCACAGGGTTTTAGGCAACTTCCTTGGTCTCAGTACCACTCAAAAGCCACCAAGAGACTTTTCACTGCATTTAGCATCCTAGCATTTGCAGAAGCTGCTAGTCTAGAGATGAAGGATGGGACGCGAGTAGAATGTGCTGCGTCAGGTCTGTGCACCATGTGCTGAGACTCACTGTTTGAGTGCCCCAATGTTGTCTATGTTGGCATCCCCCATAGCCACCAGCTCCTGCGTGTTGTTGTGGCTGTACTGCACAACGCCCACTCGGGACTCCCCAGGTTCAAACTGTTGGAGAAGAAAAGAAGTCATTTAGAGCCAGGAGCCCCCAGGGGACCTGAAGAGCTCAGGAAACTGCTAGTGGTTTCATTCCAGACATCTTCATGGCAGGCAATGCAGCTGCCCCTTGGTGCTGGTATTATTCCAACAGGAGCGGATGCAGCTGAGCCCAGTGAAACAAGACCCAAACTCAGGTTTCCCACCTCAGTGATCTCAACACAAACCATTGGGTGGTTAGGAATAGATGTTTTAAATAAAATATGCTTTTCTTCTTAAATAGTAACTTTGCTGCCCAACTCTAGTCTTTCAGGCTATTAAATGGCACTTTAACAGCCAGAGACCTGTGCATGTCCACAGTCATGTCCAACAGCAGGTCCTCGTGTCTTTACAGCCTGTGTCGGGTTACACCTTACAGAAAGTCTGAATTTCAAACATCTGTTCCATAGCAGAGGGATAAGTGGAATTTCCCATGCAGAGCATGTTACCAGGGAAGAGTTCAGAGTGTAAATATTTTTCCTGCTCTTCAAACGGAAGGACTTGAAGAACATTGCTCTTTTGTGCTGCAAATATCTCTTTCAGCAGTGTACTTAACTGGAAACCTTAATTGAAGGTTTGGGGCAGACCAGACTTCCCAGGGGCAGGCTGTCAGGGCCCTTGGGAAGTCACTACTCCAGCCACCTGAAATGCTCATTGGAACAGGGAGAAGACCAACAAACCGACTGACCAGGCAAACTAGGAGTAGTCTGCTTCATGACATGAACAAAGAGTTCACAGCCACTGCAGTCTTGTTGCCCAGAGCGAGTAACACACATGTATTTTGGGAGAACAGATTCTGCAGACTCTCCCTATGAATCTAGGGGGAACTGAGACTCATTGGGTTATGAAGCTGAGCCTTGTGGAGTGGAGGCATCTCCCTGTTTTTCCACTTGCAGTGGAAAATAAATTTATCCTGGCACTTGAAGGAAATCTCACCTTCACACGCTCGTCTTTGCTTAGGCGGTCAATGACTTTGATGATGAAATCCTTGGCAATCTGGAAGTTCTGCAGGCCAATGCTCTCCGAGCTGTCCAACACGAAGAGGAGGTCGACAGGACCACAAGTGCACTCTGCAGTAAAGCACATGTGTGGTGAGGCTTGCATTTGCTATCTGAGCTGCTCTCAGAGCAACATGCTTTGCAGGGAGGCATACCCAAGCAATCGGCCAGTGTTTGCTGTTAGTCTTGGTGGAAGGACTGCAAAGCACAGTGCAGAATTAAGTGGCAAAATAACCACATAGGAGCTTTAAGAACCAGCTTAATATTTTTTCCCTTCACATTTTTCTCAGCACCCCTTGTAAGTCACCTAACATTGCCAAGCTGTGAGTACCCACGAAACACTCAGTAACTATTTCCAAAATCTGTTTCCTCAGAAGCCTCCTCACTTCTTCCATTTGCCCAGCCCAGGAGGACAGAGGTGAACACTGGTGGGCTGGAGGAGGCTGACTCATCTTGCTCCCCTCTTGCCCATGGCTGACAGACATAATGTACTCTTGGTCCTTGCTTAAGGCTTTTGGATTGCAAGCCAAGTGGAAGGCAAGGAGTAGGGAGAGGGAGGGGGAAAGAGGGAGAAGCATTAGCAAACGCTTGCAGAATGATTTTGCCAAGTAACACTCACCACAGCATGCTAGAGGAAAAGGGAGAGAAAGAGAGAACATCAAAATGTTGCAGATGAAGGTTTTCATACAACACAGACAGTAGGTCTGTGTTTCTGCAAACACGGTGACACCTGACCTGGATGATTCAAGCTCCTGCTCATTTGTGGAGCTTTCCCTCCTGTTTGATGTATCCAGATCTCTCTCTTTTAGATCACAGTGCCCTGAACTGAAACCCTGTGTGTGGCAGAGCTCTATCTCCAAACACACTATGGTATTCTTATTTAAATATAAAAGCTAATCCTGGAGGGATTAAGTAAATTGCTAATTGTGATGCTCGAATTCAGACCCCTAAGCACCCTGTGCTGCTGTAGCACTTCATTACCAGGGTGCTAAGGTGCAGCCACCCCACTCTGCATGGAGCAAAACAGAGGAGGAGAAATTCCAGGATACTCACAGCACATCTTCATGATGATGTCCAAGATTTCACACTCCTGAAACCAGAGATGAAGAAACTCTGTGGATATCAGCCGTGGCAGCTGCCTGGCTCCCAAGTGCTGCTACCCACCACCCCTACTGCTGCTTTTGCACCTTCAAAGCAGATTTTAATCTGGAAATGAGTTGGGGCTGCTTCCCTTGGAGGAGGTCAGAGCTAGGCTTTGCCAGCAGTGAAGAGTACCCATTACACTGACCGTGCAGAAGAGGCTGCATGGAAAGCCACCATCCAGCTTGCAGGAACTTTCCTCCCTTTGTGGAGGTTGCTTTTATTACAAGCTTACCACAAAATGGGGGGACCTGAATCTTTGTGACCCATGGTCACAGCATGTCCAGATCCCTTGGTTGGTGGGCAAATTAATCAAGAAGCCAGCATAGCAAAAAGGAGGGGCCAGTCTGGGGATAATTTCAGTCTTCCCACTTATGTGAGAGCTGAAGTTTTCACACTGCATGGTGATGGCCTGACACAAAGGAAGGAAACCTTGCCAGCAAGACTCAGTGGGGTAGTAATGGGGCAGGCACCACCCAGCCCACGAGCATGAGCCTTCCAGCAGCGATCCCCAGCAGCAAAGACCAAGCAAGCAAGCAGTGCCTCGGTCCTGCCATACTCACGTCTGGCCCTGGAGGCCCTGCAGGTCCAGGTGGTCCCTGTCAAACAGAAGTGTTGAGAGAGCATTTACAAGAGCAGCAAGAACTCGATGTCTTGCTATGCAATGCAGAGGCTGAAAAGGTTGCTTGTCTTTCCACCTCCCAGCTTGGTGGTGCAAATCCTTCTGGAGCTTTTACTTACTGGGCGGCCTTCAGGACCCCTGTGGCCCTTTGCTCCTTTGATGCCACTGGGACCAGCAGTTGGGTTCTGGAGATGAAACAAAAAGAAAATTCACAAAGTTTGTTCTATCCTGTGGAGAGATATTCCCAGTGTCCCTTAAAGCAAACTTTGATGCTGTCAGGAAGCATACAACACCACATGGAGATAATACCCACCCTTGGCCTAACAGCTGGAGGTTTGCTAACCATAAGATGTAGAATCTCAAGTGAACATCTAGTGAGAGCTCTGCTTGCTATCAGATACTGCACAGCAGCAAAGGGTGCCTGCAGGCTCACAAAGTCTGATAGGCTCTGACCAAAGGGCAGCATAGTACTAGATCCAGCTCCTTACTCCCGCACCTCCCTCAAAGAGAAAAGTCATGCAGCTTTATAGAAATTACTCACATCGTTGCCAGGGTCTCCAGCTTCTCCTTCATCACCTTTAGGACCAACATATCCTTTTGTTCCCTGAAAAATAACAGAGAGGATGTTGGTAGTGTGGTGAGGTTGATGCATAGACCTTGTGACAGCTGGCCTGGAGAGGAGACAGAGAGCTAAGATAAGATTCCTAGCACTGAATGTCAATGTTATTGAGGTACATCTCCTTAGTTGGCTTTCCCTGTCATAGTCACTGTCCAGCTCCCCCCCGCTGGTTCTTCCAACACCAAATGCTGGCTTGGGACGTACATCTGAGAGCACTCTGCCATCCTTGGTGTTGCACGAAGGCAGAACACTTCTATGAGAAGTAGAGGAGGGAGGGAGATCTGTGCATAAGATAAACTGGGTTCTGGGTGAGCAGGCTGTTTCAAGGAGTCCATTTTACCATACAACTGACAGAGAGGCTCTACAAGCCAAAGTACCACCAGAAGACACTAGCCAGGGAGTTCTCTATTAGATACAGAAGGAAGCAACACACTTACATTAATGCCAGGGTCCCCTCTGTCTCCTTGCTGCCCCTGGGAATGAAGAAAAGGAAGTGTGTTAGGTCAGACAAGCATCAATAATGGTCTTATGATTTCAGAGCAGCACAGTAAACTTACAGGGGCACCCGGGAATCCAATCGTGCCATTACCAGGAGGACCGTCCTCCCCCTGGAAAGGAAGGGAGAAGTAGATGAGACAGTGACAAGCAGAATACTCTGCATAGCAGAAGGATCTTGCCTTCCTTCAGCATTCACCAAAAGGAGGCAACAGCCATCCTTGCTCTACTTGCAGAGCTGTGTTTAGAACAGTTATTGTAGTCTTTTACGCTATATCCAGCTAAATATTGTTCTTACTACTTCTTCTTTCCTGGGACAGAGACCAATCTTGCTGTGTCCCCCAACTTCCCATGCCCACTCCCACTCCCCATTGCTGCACAGCCAGAGAGTGCAGCTCTTTTGTAGCTCTTCATGAAGTGTGGGGGACACTGAGACATGAGTTGCCTGTACCTCTCTTGAAGACTACCTCTCATTCTTTATTTTAAGAGGAAAATGGAACAGAAGTTCCATTGCCCCAGAAGTTCTGATGGTGACACTGTGCTTCTCAGAGATGAGGGATATGAGCACAAGCTGGGAACACTGAGCAATATGACCTCCATTACTGAAAGTACATTCCAAGATAGGGCTCTCTGAGCCTGCAAAGGGGATGCATGCTCAAAAAAAAGCTGCTTGCAAGTTTTCCCAACGTATTTCAGCTGTTTATGAGAGCCATTTCTTTTCTCCCTGACCTGGACTATGCTGCATGGAACCAGTCAGCTGTAGATCCTTCCCACATTGCATGCAGTCTCCATAAACACCACTCACCCTTTCTCCCATTAGGCCAGGATCTCCAGGCAACCCAGGTGCTCCAGGTGATCCCTTGGGGCCCTGGAAGGATCAGAAGGAGGAGTCAAGCACTGTGCACTATCCATTGATGTGGGAAGATGATGCCTTCTGAGACTCCCTGCAGCACTCTGATCCCTTGCTTCCTACCTGAGACCAGCTCTGACAACACACCTAGGAGCTAGGAAGAAGCCCCTTTCATTCAGGGGCAGCAGGCAAGGGTTACTTAATCTTGTCACATGAGCTATTTTGTTCCCCTAGCTTCTGACAGAGGAAGAGAAACCACAAGGTGAAGCCACATGACTTGTGGTGCAGCTATACCCTCTCCTGGAGATAGGGAAAAAGGTATTCACAGCCTTAGGGATCCACCAAAAATACCTTGAGATGTCTGCCAGGAAGCTATCAGATACTGCACAGCAAGTATCCCCAAAAAAGGGTTTCTGTGACCTATGGGATGTGTGGACAGTCTTAATGGGCAGCATCTCTTGGTCTTCCCTCAATTTCCTCCTCCCGAGAAGATGTGATGATGAAGGACCACTGACCTCATTGCCGCGGGGGCCATCATCTCCTCTGTAGCCCTTTGGTCCTGGGGGTCCAGGCTCACCCTAGGAGAACACAAAGAGCTGTCACATGAGCCCCTCCTCAGAGGGGATGGTCCCTTCGTTTCATAATGTGATGGGTGGGAGCAGGAACCTCATGCCTTGCACTCATCAGTGAGTCACTTCCACCGAGGAGAAAGGCTCTATTCATGGGGATCAACTCAGGTGAGGAGGTACTTGGGTGAGGAGGCACTCCAGGGGGAGGGCCCAGAGGGGAAAAGGCTGGGGGTTGGGGGGGGGGGGGGGGGGGGGGGGGGGGGGGGGGGGGGGGGGGGGGGGGCAAGATAACACTTTCCAGCAGTGAAGCACAGCTTGGCATTGCATTGATGTCCCTCCTTGGAGGATCATATCACCCTGAAACTATCACAGGCCTCTCTCTACGGGGGCCTTGGACATGACTCATGGCAGCTGGGCTGATGGAAGCCCTTCCATGGCTGAGGGGAGTCTCTGTCCTCAGGAGGCTGCAGGGTCCTGGCAGCATCTGCTGGAACAGACCAGAGCTGTCACTCTGCCATGTCCATCTGGGCAGCAGCCACTTGGTCCGTCAGCTGCAGGGCTGGCCAGTGATGTTCAGAGTCAAGAGGCATGAGGAAAGAAGGCAGGGAGAGGGTGGATTTGGGCCTTTGTTGGATTTTTTGAGTCTTTATGAGCTCCAAAAATGCACAAGGAAGCCTGAGACAACAGAGATACTCTGTACTGGTGAGATTTGGGGGAGTAGGAGCTGTCTTCATGTACTGCCCAGCTTTGCAGCTGCTGTCTCTCACCACCCACAAGCTGAGGAGGCTTTAGTTCCCTCCAGCTGTCCTTGCTGCTCCACTTCATGCACTCTTCTTGCAGGGAAAGGCACACAGATGGTGGCAGAGAACTCCAAAACTGTGTAGTGTGGAGAAGAGCAAGAGCTTGCTTAAAGGCGTGTGACCCTTATTTCTGCACAAGAGCCCAAATAAGAGAAAGCTGGGAAGGAGGGACTGGATCTCATGACCATTCATATCAGCCAAAGTTGAATTCCAGACGCACTTGGCTCATGCTGGTCATAGGTGGCTTCACTGTAACAAACAAGTTAAAACCCTTTGCAGCCCCAATGGGGCTTGTGAAGATGTAGGATCTTAAGTCGTGAAGTCCTTAGCAGTTTCCTAACCTCTTTTCCTTCTACACGCAACAAGAACTGTAGGAGGGATGGGCACCAGAGCCATGATGGACCACCAAAGCAGCCCAGGAGATCAGGGGGTGAGCACGCTGACCTTTAGCGTCTCTTGCAGACAGAAAAGAGGGTGAAACAGAGTCACAGGTTAATAGGAACTCCTTCTCCTTGCCAAGATAAATGTGCTCTAAGAGCCAGAGCTTGCAGATAACATGGCTTGAAAAGCACTTGTGTTTGCCTAAGTTCTTCCTTTGCCCAAGCCCAATTACAATTTATTTTTAATTTGGCCAAGCAAAAACATTTTCCCTCAGTTTATGGAAAAAAACATCTTTTCTTTACAACTGCTTTTTAAATTTCCCTAGAGTGACTGGGATAGTAGGTCAGCCGCTGCTCTGGAGAAGCATCAGTGCTGTGGCACTTCCCTCTTTGACAGGGAATGAATTCAGTGCTCCTGGGAAGGGAAGATGGATAACGCATAGGCTTTCTGACAGCCTCCTCTCCTTTCTGCCTGTTAAGGCAGGCTGGGGAAGATCCTTCCTTCCGTCATGCTTATACAGCTTTGGCGCCCAGGCTTGGGTCAAATCTCCACCTGAATTCTATCTTATCCTTCCCAGTCCTCCTGCCTTGAAACTGGAATGAGACCCTATACAAGAAAAGCAGCTCTAGTCCTTCTTCCTTCGCTGGTGTCAACCCATAGGACATGCACACATCCAAAATACCACCCTCTGACCAGAGGCACCTCCCACCATGGCCACGTCCAACAAGCTGGTGGCTGTCAGATACTCTTTAACTGTGGCCAGAGTTTAGTTTAGCTCAGTTAAGAACAGAAATGTCTGGACAATTCAATGAGAACTTGGTGCTTTTCACTAGCACAAGGCAGGTAGTCTAATTCTAGGCAAGCTCAACCTTGGCAGGAGTGTCCCTATGGGGAGTGTTTCCTATAGGACAGATCTGCTGTAGTGGTGGTGCTGGGGTAGGCAGGAACACAGCAGTGGCCCCTCTGTGGCTGTCCCACACTCCAAATCTCCTACAGGGCTCTTCAACAGTGGGTTGACCATGAAGGATTTCCAAAACTCACACACTGATCTTCATTCTTCACCTCAGGAAAGTCCTCTTCCAGCGGTGTGAGAACATTTATCTCAGAACTTTCTTATATCTTGAGCTCTATTGAAGCTCTGATGATTACAGGAGTATGTGCCACAGAGTTCATCCAAGGGTGATGTCAAAGCATGCTTGCTCAGGTGGGAAGGCCATGCTGGTTATTGCCAACAGTGCTATCTCCACCAAGGATTAACCCTGCAACTCCAGAGGAGTTGAGTGGGAGCTTGGTATGACTTTGAGAGGAAAGAACCTTTAACTGTGCGAGGGATAGAAGCCTTCCTTCAGCTGGAGGAATCCAGTTCTGTGCTCCAGAAAGCCAGCAGGATCTCAGATCGATTTCTTGAAGCGCACATGAAGAAGTGGGCCCATGGTGGGAGGACCGGGCCTCAGAGTGAGCAGACTTGAGAAGCAACTGGCTTTGGGACAGATCGTCTGCAGATTCCACGGGTGTCAGGCCACTGCCGAGGCCTTGTCAGGCTGTCCTTGCTCTCACAAGACATCTCATTAACTCCCATGATCAAGGCGAGCAGTGTTTGGCCCCAGGCCTGAACATTTTTTGCACTGCTGCAGCTCATACTTGCTGGTTTCTAGATCTGTCTGCGAGACGTGTTGACATCTGTTTCCACAGGACTGGGAAATGACGTGGAGGTCTTTTTGTCCCCAGCCCAGCAGCCAAGTCTCCATTTTCTAGCCCCGCTCAAATTCTGAGTTCTCCTAGAAATCACTGCCCCTCTGCACTGGCTTTGCTGCCTGGTCTGGAACATGCGAAGACTGCTCCAAGATGCTGTGGCATCAGTTGAGCCCTTGAGCACAGCCTCCCTGCCACCCCACACACTTCCACATGCAATCCAGAAGGCTAATCCCAAATCTTACCTGGTCTCCAGGTGGTCCAAGAGGTCCTTCCCGTCCTTGGTCACCAGGTGGTCCAGGTTCTCCCTGAAAACACACATAGAGGATATGTCCTGCATGCGATGGGGAGCAGGGACACAGTATTGCTTGCTGGGTAGAAACAGTCATCCTAACAGTGATACTTCAGGTTTTGGGTGGGAAACCAGCACAGCGAGGCTGACCAGGGGAGCCTGGAAAACCTGAGGCAGGGTATTTTGGTGGCACACACTGCAAGGCTCTTTGTGCAGGATGCTACTCTGCCTGCAACCTTAGAGAGGCTTTCTGAAGGTCACACCTGGATTAAAATATTTGGGAAAGTGGTTGAAAGCTTGGTGATTCAAAGCTCTTGCTTTCAGGCAGGGCTCCCAGATTCCTAAGCCAAAGAGTAAACATAAAATAACTTTCAAAGAGCCCTGAACATTGGTGGAGGTGATTCTGTCAAGGTTACCAAGCCTTGTACTTGATCTAAAACTTGGAAGGAAGCAGTCCACTGTCTGCAGAACAGGCTGACGGCAGAACACTGGCATGCATCTATCTCCCTTGCACATTTGCCTCACACACCACACGTGGTGGTGCTGCTGCGCTTCCCCTGCAGGAAGCAAAAAGAGGGAGGCTGCTTCAGCTTCATGTGGCCCATCCCAGCACAGCCCATCCCTGTTCTCAAGGTGAGCGGCACTTCAGCCATGGACATACAACAGCAAACACCTGGCAGTGCTGGCATCGCTAGGGTGCTGCTCCTGGATGCCATCCCACACAGCAGAAGCATGCAGGCACCTGTGCCATTGGCCACGTGTTTGTCCACTTGTCCCATGGCTTCATTCACCCCATGCTTGCAGCAGGTGACTCACCCCAGACAGGCCCAACAAATAATTTCCTACTGACTCCCACTCACTCCAGCAAGGGGAGGGAGGTTTTACCCTCACCCAGGTGCCTGCCTGCCTACCACTGTGCCCTCCTTACTGAACTCTGCCTGCCTGCAGAGCCCCACCACCCCCCCAGGAGGACACCCTGCTCATTTTCTCTCACCAACTGGTTTATTATCGACAGACTGCTCTCTGCCTGCTCTCTGGGCATGGGGTTTGTCTGTTTGCTGATAACCCATCAGTGTGAAGGTATGATTGCCAGGGGATGGTGCCAGGGTGGGATGTCGCAGGTGCCCATCAGGCAGGCAGGTGCATCAGTCAAGCTTGCCCACTGGCCACACATTTCCAGCCCCAGCTGTCCAACGTGCCACCATTTGCAAGCAGATGACAACAGGCTCCCCATGGACGTAGTTACCAGATCTCCTCGTGGCCCACGGTCACCTGGCGAGCCTGGAGGTCCTCTTTCTCCATTGCTGCCCTGCAAGAAGATGGTGGGAACACAGATTTAGGACCCCTCTCAGCACTGCACGACCCTCCCTCATCACCTGCCCATAGACATCAGCCCCTGCCGCAGCCTGCCCACACTCACCCGCTCTCCTGGAGGACCATCTGCGCCTGGGGAACCCTCATCCCCTGTCTCCCCTAAGGGTCCAGGCTCTCCCCTGTTGCCAGGAGCACCCTGTAACAAAGCAAAGACAGGGTTTTGAAGCAAAGCCCTGCATACTAGCGGAGCCTTGGCCAAGCTGTGCTTTGAGGCAGAGGCCAGAGAAGAGACCTCTCCTTCTTGCAGAGGACTTGTGTGAGCTCTTCACCAACCTTCTCTCCAGGGCTCCCAGGAATGCCCTGCCGGCCAGGTTTTCCATCTTCTCCAGGCTCTCCCTTCACAAGGACACAAGAAGACACATCAGTACCAAGGGGTGGATTCTGGTCCCCATGCTGAGGTGGATTGCTGGAGCTTTGGCTCTCCCTGAAACCCCTTTATCTCCACAGTCCTATGGAGGTCCCCATCCCCTCCACTGCCCCACCAACGTGAGCCACCATTTCTCAGGAACATCTCAGAGTTTTGGGGACATCCTGGAGCTGGGGCAAGCAGTGCACAGCTCACATCTCACCAACCAGACCTCACTGAGGGCAAGGGGCAACATACTCTAGTAGGGGCTTGACCCCAAGTGGCATGGGGAGGTCTGCAGTGGATCAATCACTGTCTCTTCTGAGAGTGTCCCTTAAACCTGAGTGTCTGCCTCTTCTGAACCACTCCATCTCCAAAGTGGGCGAAGGACATTTGTCCTTCTTACAGGTTGGAGGCTGCCAAGCACACCTCCTTCTGTGCCTGTGGCTTGGCATAGCAAGGGCAGACCCAAGGTCCAGTAGGCTGGGGAGTGTGAGGTGGACACCATGGGCTTACCTTTCCTCCCTTGGGTCCATAAGCACCAGGATCGCCTTTTGGTCCAGGTGGGCCCTGTGTGCCCTGTTGAGAAAAAAAAAAGCCCAGCACGATTACCTGTGGAAAACGGCATGGGGGGAGCATTCTGGCAACCTGGCCCACAGCATCTCAGCACAAAGAGCAAAAGGGATGGGTGACACAGCACTCTTGCACTGTGGGGCTGTGTGAGTCCAAGGATGGCAGCTTTGCCATCCAAACGTCCAATATGTTCTGGCTGTTTGGGCACAGCAGCCTGAAACTGCTTGCTGTTTTGCACTGAGCTCTTCCTCTCACCAAGCAGCCTCCAGCCAAACATGGTATTGTCACACATCATAATGCAACAGGGGCAGCTTTCATGAGTGGAGAGGAACAGATGTCCAGGAACTGCATAGGAAACCACGAGCATTTCCAAGTATTCCCAAGCAGGAGGTGCCCATGGGGTACATACATCAAATCCAGGTGAGCCTTTGCAGCCAGGTAGTCCAGGGTATCCAGCTTCTCCCTGTGGGACAGACAGAACAAGTGCTGCTGTAAGCAGTACCTGTAAGATGCCCCTGCACATGGGTTCCATGTGGGACATGAACTTCTGCTGTGGGCCCCAACATAGTTTTGGGGGTGCCTGGGCAGCACCCAGAGTCCTCAGGCTGAGCAGGGCACCTGGAGGGGAAGGTTTACCTTCATGCCATCAATGCCGTCAATCCCACGCTTGCCCTTCTCACCCTGAAATGCAGACAAGGAACCATGAGGAAGTGACTTCCAAGCACCCTTCCTCCCTCCCACCTCAAGCATCAGTAGGGAAGAATAAATGGTGCAAAATCTAACCTTGGCTCCTTTGGCTCCTCTCGAGCCCTGCAAAGGGAAACAGAGAGGTCAGGACCCTCAAACCTGCTGTCCTTGTCAGATGCCAATGCCAATGGAGGGTTGGGTGCATAGGCAGTGTGCTGCCAGCCAAGCAGGGGCACAAGAACCCCTCAAGCCTTTGCTGTCCTCACCTTTTCTCCTCGACTTCCTTTGTCGCCCTAGTAATGAGAGGAAAGAGAGAAAATGGAGAATGAGGATACCAGCATCTTGTCCCCCACTAGAAACTGTATCCACCACCCTGCAGCCCCACATACCTTCATTCCTTGGTAGCCAACGGGCCCCATGTCCCCTGGCCTGCCCTGGAAGACAGAAACACAGTGTCATGTAGGCAGACGCACGTAGGTAGGTAGGCATCAGTCAGCACTAAGGGGGCAGTCCCCATTCAGGTTCATACAGCACTGACTTTACATTGTCACCCACTCTCTCACTAGCATTTAAAACATGATTCTGTAATGTTTCTCAACACATCCTGTTGGGATATGCTTCTTGCCCCCACTACCACAGCCCTCTCCCATAGACCTGCTCTTCCTTTGCGTGCTCATTTGGCAAAAGATGCTGTGGGGTGGTGGATCTCCAGCACCCCCAGCCTTCCCCAGTGGTGAGGGAAATGGGGCACTTGGGGACATATCATTTGGGGGTGAAGTGGAAGGGCAGAAAACCCTCAGGAAGGAAAAACATGCACGTGCCATGGGGTTTCCAAGCTGGGCACACAAAGGGATAACTGCACACTTATGTGTGTGGGAGAAACATTTCTCCCAAAATAAATGTACCTAGCAAAAAAGGGAGGAGGAAAATGGTTTCCTGATACAATTAGCTTATTATTTACTAAAGGTTTCTCCATAACACTGCTGTGCTTGTGGTGTCGGGAGGGAGCTCGGGGTACACCCCATGAGTCAGAGAGGCATCCCACAGGAGGGGAAGCTGCTTGGGGCAAGGAACAAGGCAGCCTTGTGGGACCCTGTGCTGGGTGGGCAGATCCAAAGGGGATGTATCTTGTCACCATTCCTTTCCAGGGATAGCTGGCTAGGACACCACTGTGGGAATGGGGTGGTACAGGGATACAGGATGGTGACCTACAAGGGATGGTGCAGGGATGGGAATTGCTGACACCAAGTGCAGCTCCCCATCACCCTGCCAATGAGGATGTGCCTGGGAGCTCTGGCAGAGCCACCAAGCCTAGTCCATTAAAAACATAGCATCATAGAATCATTGAGAATTGGAAAGACCACTAAGATCCTCTGGCCCATCACCACCATGCCCACTAAACCACATCCCTCAGTGCTACATCTCCATGCTTCCTGAAAACTTCCAGAGTTTTCTACTTACGGGGTCTCCAGCATCTCCCTTCTGACCAGGAAGACCTGGCTTTCCTCTTTCTCCCTGAAATACAGGACAGAAATACAAGTTAGCTCGCCTTCCCCCGAATAAAATGAGGCTGAAAGAAGAGCAGGGAGGTGATCAGGGCAATGCTCCATGGATATGGGGAGCAAAGGACAGAGGCCACATGGGACAGTTGTTCCCATCATCTCCCTGGCCAAGGGGTGACATATGTCCCACTGGATCTCGAGCATCCCTGTGGAACTCATCCCTATGTGGCCAGGGGCTGATTCCTCACCTCGTGGCCTGGGTCACCAGGAGGTCCTGGGGGTCCTCGGGGAGGCTGCAGGAGAGAGGTGGGGGTTAGATGGAGCCACCAAGGCATCAGCTGGAGGCACAAGGAGGGGGATAGAGGCCTTGAGGGCCTGACTCACATGGCACTCGAAGGAGCAGCACTGGCCAGATAAAAGGAGAAAACAACATCAGAAGAAATGGTAGCACCATGCCCTGCTTGGGGGCATCCTCGATGCTGGGCAGAGTGGGCCCACCAAGTCCTGCAGGGCAGGGATGAGCACAGGGGATGGGCTTGGTGTGCGGGAGAACACTCACCGATTGCTCCATGTTGTCTTTCTGCAAGGCAAAAAGCAAAGAGAGGTGGGTTGTGAGAGTGGAGGGAGCCCAGGGCAGGGGTGGGCTGAGCAGGGGAACAGGCAGTGCTCACGATCATCTCGATGATGTTGTTGATTGTCTCCTCCACATCAAGGTCCCGGGTTGGCTTCAGGCTGGTGGCAGTGAAGTTGCGGCGGTAGGAATGGTCCGTGGCAATGATGTTGAGACGTTGGTCCTAGGGTTGGGAGTCAGAGTAAGATCTGCAGGCACTCATGTGGGATGTGCCCAGGGGACCTGCATCCTCCCTCCAGCCCTCAGTGTGTCCCCAGCCCTTGGTGTTTCCCACACTCTGACTCTGTTGGGGGACCACTTGTCTCCAGACAGGGCAGTGGAGCCCCTTTACACAAATGCTGCTATGCTGGAGCAGCATGAGACCCCTGCCCTGGAACTGCTGCTTGGTCCCTACCAGATGGTGGGGTGAGATGGCGACAGAGAACACTTTGATCCCCAAATGTTTGGCTTCATTAGCAGCATCATCCAGGCCTCCACAGGGTTCCTTGTACCCCTCCAAAGGGTGTCCATCAGTCACCACGATCAGGTATTTATTCTCCTTGAGATGGGAGCCACTGCAAGGATTTAAACACTGCATTTAGTGCTGCAAGGGCTTAAGGCCCCAGTGCCCCAGCCTACAGCCAGGCTTGTCTCATCCCAGCACAGGTGGATCAACAGTAACCTGCCACCCTATGATTAGGTGACCTCCTTCACACAGGAGGGACAGACCTGCACAGGGACATCCCAGCCACCACCCACCTCACCCTATCCTTCGCCCCAGCCCCGCTGCCGTACCCGACGAGCAGCCGCTCGATGCCCTGCTTGATGGCACAGTCAGTGTGGGTGCCCTTCCCAATGTAGTTGATGGCCGACACGCTGTTCTTCAGCTCAGCCCTGCCGCTGGGCATGGCAGTGAGGTCCTTGATGATGACCACAGAGTCGCTGTAGTGCAGAGCCCCAGCGTTCCATGCCAGGAAGCGGTCACAGCGGAAGTACCTGTGAGAGGACACCAGGAGTTGTGCCTTCAGCATGGCCCTGTTACCACGTTGCCATCTTCACTGCCTGCAACGTGAAATGCAGTTCCTCTGCCAAGGCTTTGGGAAGGCTCCCTGCTTTTCCTGTGCTTCTGGAAACAGAGGAATGTCACTGCCTGAAGGATGCTTGCATACAGAGAGTGGTGGGAGCTGAAGCCCTCTCCCATGCACCAACATAGGTTTGTTCTCCAGTGCTTGGGACAGCCTGTCACAGCACCTCATGCTTGGGTCTGAAGTCATAATCAGTGTTCTCCAAAATGACACATTCAGGATGCAGGGAACAATCCCAAACAGATGTGCAGTTGCACACTTCCCAAGCCTGTCTTCTCCCTTCCCATGAAGATCTTTCCCAAAGCCCCCTGAGCATCACCATCCATCCACCCATCCCTGAAGCACCCCAAGCCCACTGCACTACATGTAGCGCTGCAGACATGGTAGTTGCATGCAGGGCAATGACCCCACAGTGTGTAGGGAGCACAAGGCTGGTCAGTAGATGCCAGACTCAGGGAGCCTGTCTCTCTGTCTGCATGTAGCAGGGGCTCAGGACAAAGCCTGGCACTTTTCTAGGAGCCAGGTTGCATTGATGGGGGCCTAGCAGGTTGCCCCCCAAGCACATGGTGATGTGATGCTGACACGAGGTGGCCCTTCCCCAGATTCTGCCCCTCCAGCTCTGGGGAACTTAGGTGGCCACCTGGAAACACGAGGGTTAGATTGGGCTGGTGGCTGTGAGGGTGCATCTAGGAGCAGATCACTGGGTAAAGAGGTTGTGGTGTCCCACAGGACCCCCAAAGTTGGGTTCAATGCCTGGGAGACACATGCCTTTTATCATCACAATTAACACCAAAGCGCCCCATGGACACCTAAGCACACATTGGCAATGGCTGGAGTGGGACCAGTGTGGTCGTGGTCATGCAGAGGAAAGACATGGCCTGGTGTCCCTGCACAGCCTTGCTCTCCTCCAGCATCCCACCCAGCTCTGGCACAGTCCCAGAGACCCCCGAGGGCAGTGATGAGCACCGTACCTTTCGGTCAACTTATCGATGAAGCGGTTGGTGAAGTCTTTCACTTGTGCCACGAGGTCCCCGAAGGGCTTCACCCTCAGGGCAACGCTTTCAGAGGTGTCCAGCACAAAGAACAGGTCCACGGGGCAGTCTGGGGGCAAGCAGAGCAGCGTGGCACAGCAGTGCTTTCCACTGAGCCCCTGGCACAGCCGTGGGACAAACACCAGCAGCACAGTGCCGAGTTGCTAATCCCACATGCGACACGCAAGCAGGCACGTAGGGCTGAGATTGTTCTTCCTTAGCATTTCTGCTTTGGCATTTACAGTAAGCTGGACCGTGTCTGAGCGCATAGCCAGAAAATATCCATTTGCGCACGCTTTCATTCTTTCCCATTTGCATTCACGCTTGCAAGACCACCGTTAGTACTTAAAATAAGATGCAGCTGCAGCAAACATTTTAAACAAAACTAAACCAAACCAAGACACGGTGGCTACGACCACAAAGAGAAATCCATGATTTCCCAACACGTCCCAGTACAAATACCATTGCAGAGAAGAGTGAAACTAAAAATGCGCCTCAAAAGCCTGTGCCCAGATTGATGTCCTTTGCAAAGATAAACCCTTGCCATCCCCTCCTTGCATCCCAAATCTGCCAAGGACACCTGGCCAGAGGAGAACCAGCACAAAACAAGCAGATACACTTCATCAGAGCCCAAAGAATCATAGAACCACAGCATCACTACCATCGGAAAAGACCTCTAAGCTAGTACCCGCACCGCACGCACTGCTCCTTCCAAAGCTCGGCAGCCCCGCGTTTCTCCGGGCTGCCTCCCGCTTACCCTGAGCCCTGAAGACACGGGCGTTGATTTCAGCCTGCTGAGCCCAGGCACCCCCGAGAAGGAGCAGCAGCGCCAAGAAGGAGTCGTGCAGCCCCATGTCGCTGGGCTCAGATTCCCATCGAGCTGCAACGAGGGGAGGAAGGAGGGAGAGGCCGGGTCCGGGTCCGGGGGTGGTTTCAGTGCTCGGGACCCGGGGAAGGAAGAGCGGGCGGGGGGGAGAGGGTGAGGAGGAGACTCCGCAGCCGGGATGGAGGGTGGGACCAGGGCTGTCCGTGCTGACTCAGAAGCCAGCCTGCACTTCTGGCCGTCTTTCTGTGCTCGTTGTACCCGTGAGCACTTGTCGTGTGCCGCTGCCGCGGGGCTCCGGTATCCCCCAGCTGTACCCTGGGGGTTCGGAGCCCTGAGCTGAGCCCACTGCGGGATGAAGGAAGGCAGCCCGCTGCATCCCAGATAGCCAGCAGCTGCGCTCTGCTGCCTGCTAAGCAGGGTACCCACTGCAGGGCACATCTGGGCAGGAGGATGGCAGGAGCATCGGGTTCAGCCTGGAAAGTGACTTCCTCCTCTGCTCGTGGGGCTTTCTGCCCTTTCTCCCAAAGGATCGAGATGAGACCCCCTATGCACAGAGAGTCACCCCCAGCTGCACCCTGACCATGGGTGCTGAAGCTGGTACGTACCCCAGCCATTTGGGGTAGCTACAGTCCTCCTACTGGCCTTGAGAGCCCAGTAGGAGCTGTAAGGATCCAAAGCAGCACTGAGACCCAAAGCCCTCACAGACAGCCTGCACTTCATGTCAGACTCAGGGGGTGAGCCCCACACTGCTCAGCCTGGTCCTGTCTCGTGTTGAGGTCAGAGCTTTCACCTACTGGAGCAGGTGCTGCCCAAACCTCATCACAGGGCAGCATTCACTGCCCCCTGGGAGAGAAGCAAAACACTGGGGCTGTTCCTGCTACAGCCCTAGCCTGCTCACAAGGACACTTGCACACTTTCATGGTATGGGAGGGGGCAAATGGATGTGTAATCCAGGCCATGGGGTACTTTGCTGGAAAGAAATCCAGAGTGGAGTAATCTGAGCACATGGCAGCAGGATAGCACCATTAAGGAGTTGATAGCATGAACCCAGCCAATACCAATGACCTGTGCACAAACAAGTTGCAAAAGGCAGCATTTGCTCTCCTGCTTACACAGTGTTGTGCTTCTGCACCTGCACGGTCATTCCAGAGGAGCTCCTGTGCTCGCTGCAGATAACTGCTCAGATTCCTTGCCAGTTTGCTCAGGACAATCTCCAGCATGTGGAAATGTGCTCTGGGATCCTGGCCTTTCCCTGGGAGTCATCATACCCAGACCCAGAAGCTTCTCCTCAAACATCACCCAGCCCCTTCCCTCTTCTCTCCCATTTCGTATCCCACCACCATGCCTCTCCACCTCTCTGCACAACCATTCTGGCAACATCATTGTGCAAGTGGTCTGGGGAAAATGTGGGAAGAAGGCTCAAGCTGGGATCTTCAGAGAACATACAGAAAGACAAAAGCTGTAATCCCACTGAGTAGGAGTCCCATCAGTGGAAGAGCATGTCTGCAAGCTGCTGAGGAAGGTGCAGTCAGTCATGACTCTTTGGGTGAGCATCATCAGGAGTCAGAGAGGTTTCTTCTTTGTTCAGCTGCTTTGCTCCTTATGCTTTGCTGGGAGCAGTGGAGGAGCTGAGTTCTCTGCCCTGCAGTAGATGAGGACACCTCAGCCATCTCAAGTCTGGCCTAGCAATGCCAGTGAATCTTGGTGGTGATGCCACAGCTCGTGCATGGTACAGATGGACTGTGCATGGCTCTGCACAGCTGCAGCCCATCAAGGCATCCCAAACATGTCCCCTCTGCTGTCTGACCCAGCCAGGGGCTTGGATTTGCACCCAGCTTCAAAAGCCTTTGAACTTACTGCGTTTTCCATGTCTACTAAAGCAGGACTAGTGGCCAGTGAGGTTCCCAAGGCACCAAACAGTGGTTTCCTTGGAGAAATCCAAGCTGGTTTGCATGAGTCCGCTCACAGAGGTGTCTGCAGGAGGAGCAGCTCTCAGAGCAGGATGGCATCAGTGGCACTGGCACAGAGCCCTGGGAGTGCAAAGCCACCTTGCCAGCATTACCCAGCAGGCACGGAGCCACAAAAGGACACCAGGAGGAGTCTCACGTTCTTTCACCTCCTCGAAGAAGGGGCTGGGGGAAAAGCCAGCCCCAGCCATGCAGCACCTCCCAATCACCTTGGCACCATTACTGTGAGCAGCAGCATTACAGCTTTCCCTTGCTGCCAGGGGAGGACCTGCACCGCTGCCTCTGCTGACCTGAGGCGAACTCCTCCACATGCTGTGTGCCAGCACTGGCAGGGTGGGTTCCTGTTTCTTCCTTCCAGCATTCTTCCCTTCCAGCAAGGGTACTCACATCTGGGCACAGAGCTCTGAGAGCACTTCTTCCTTCACTAGATGCTCAGGGGTCCCAGCAGCTCATGCTCGTGCCCATCGGTGAGCATCCTTACCCATGGCTCCCCAGGCTGCTGCACAGGGCTGCAACACGGCAGTGGCAGGGTTCCATCCACCCCACCCAGGGTACCCCCACCACCACTGTGCAGACCCCATGCATGTCAGCACGGCCCCATAGGCAAAGAAGCAGCCCCACGCCCAGGCTGGCTTGGGGCGGGTTAACATTTTCCCTGTTACCTCACACTGGCCTCTGGTCCTATGGAAAAACAAACCATCTGGTAATCATATTTCTCTTCTAGCTGTCTGAGCCTGCGGGAATGCTTGGCTGGCTTTCTTCAGAGAGAAGAGCAAAAGGGAAGGCGTTGGATGCAGCGTGGGAGCTGGAAGAGAAGGCATGGCTCACTTGGACCCCCTCTGCCACCTATGTGCCACTAGGCACAGCTACACGCTGTCACCCCTGTGGTGGGACCCTGCAGGGCAGCTTCTCCAGGGCTGGATCTGTTATCAGGCCATACCCTCATCCCAGACCTGCTCCCTTCACCCATCAAGACACAGACCCACTTGCCGAGCAGGCTCATTGTTGTGGGGATTTGAAGCTCTTGAGCCACTGCAACGCCATCCTCTGACCTCCACGACATGCAAGCCCGGGTTTGCTTTGTCACAGCTTGGTTCTGACTTCTCTCAGGGAGCCAAAAGCCCATTCCTGCTTTCCTTGCTGCCTGATCTCTGAAGTATGGTTTCATTTTCCTTCTGCAGCAGCAGCAAGCTCCAGGATGCATGGGGATCTTGCTTTCTCACATGCTCCCTAGTTGTTCCCCCTGGGCTGGTGTCACATTGCAGTTCTGCACAAAGCCAACCTGACCCATGCCATACTGCTGCAGGGATGCTGTGCCCCAGCCCAGGTGTTCCTGTCCCTGTCCCCAAGTTCCCTGCATGTCTATTACCAAGTGTTCCTTCTCCCATTTTTTCAGCACGTACCATTTAAGCTCACTATTTGCAATCACTCCAGTGGCCATCCCAGCTGACTGGGTACAAGCCTAGCATGCAGCCCAGCTTTCCTTCCAGCAGGGCCAACTCCAGCCTGCAGCCTTTTCCTAGAAGCACAAAACAAGCCAGCTACCCTTACTGGCAGGGACAGATTCCCAGCTCAGTGCCAAGCGTTGTCCTCAGTTCTTCTGTTGACAATGAAGAGCAGATATACAACACTCTGCCATTTTGCTGTTCCCCAATCTACTTCCCTGGGTTCACAGTGCTGAACAGAAGTGGCTGTCCCCAAAAGGAGCCCAGGAGGGGAGGATGAGTGGCCCAGAGCAGAGCAAGTTACAGAGGAGGCAGTGCAGGGGCCACCAGCACACACTGCGGATGGTGAAATCCCAATGGGTCATAATGATAAGCAAAGATAAGCATCTTTGCTGTCTTTTTTTTTTTTTTTTTTTTTAAATTCTTCTTCTAATTTTTTAAGAGGAAAAGTTAAGCTGGTTGTTTCAGATCCCCAAACACTCTCACGCCTGTCAGCCCTCCTGGAGCAGCAGTATGCAGCTGGGGCTGCCCATTGTCCCTATGGGTCGTGGCTGCCTTGCAGCTGCCCATGGGAGCTCAGAAACCTGTGATGATGCCAGGCATGGAGCATGGAGGCACAGAGCTGCTCCTGGCACAGCATCACCAGTCTGGTGAGTGTTGGCTTTGCCATACTGGCTTCAAGTAGTGTTATGTGGAGACAGGAATGGTACTTGATCCTTATGGGTGCTTCTCAACTCAGGATATTCTATGGTTCTATGGTTCTGTGTCACCTCATTCGAAATAAAGAGGGCTGTGAAGGAGAGCAAGTGTGATGTTTTTCTCGGCAAATTCCAAATCACTTGTTTTGAGTTAGGGCTGGTGGTGGGCAGCTGGAGCATGGGGATGCTGTTGGGTTTAGATGCCAGGAGGGATGGGAATGGGCACTCTGTGATGCTGGGGGAGTGACCGAGCTCCATGCTGCAAGCTGGCAGCTCCATATGGGGCAGGCACTGTGTGCCATAGGGCTGGCCTACTGAAAATGGAGTGAATGCAGCTTGGGCTGGCATGGAAGATGGGGCACGAGAAAATGTTGAAAAGGGTTCCCTTTCCTTCACTTCCCAATCAGGACAAGGTCTAGATGGGCTCTCCTGGCTCTCCTGCCTGTGTGTCAGGGGCCGGTTGGGCACAGAGCCCCATTTCTGCTCCCCATAGGGTAGTATTCCCCTCTCCAAGGGGACACAGGGTTGGCAGGCAGCACAGCAGGGAGCGGCAGCTCTCAAGGCAGTGCTTCTCCAATGAGAAACGAAACGGTTTGGGCAAAAGGCATGCCCTGAAATAACACTGGGGCTGCTCCAAGCTGCTGGAGCGTGGCGTGGGGCAGCCGGTCTGAGAGCTGCCATTGTGCGGGGCCGGATGGGCAGCACGCACCCATCCCAACAGCCCGGCCCCGGCGGTGACTCACATTTGCTATAAACACGTCTCCCGGCGGGTAATGAATCCTGGCCTTTGCTGCTTTTTGGGAGGGGTCTGGATTTGCTTCAGGGTTCTCCCCCCGCCCCGCTCCCCTTCCCCTCCTGGAAGCCCGGCTGCTGCGCGTGATTGTTTCCTGATGCTGAGCACAGCCAGCGCACTGAGCAGCTTTTTCCAGCTGATGCGTGGGATGAGCTTCACCTTAACCCTTCCATTGGCTGCGGGGAATCCTGCTGCCCCACGGCATTCCTTTTCGTAAGCAACCACCCGGGACCACAATCAGCGAGAGCTTTATT